CCGTTCCCCTATCCGCGACCTGGGGACGCGCTCGGTAGCATACAGCTCTGCTCTCCCGAGGCTATCGGTAATAGTCGCAATCTTTTCCGTCTAATTAGGAATACGGGTCGTTGGAAAATAAGCATAAGTGAGGTAATTAAGGAATCCTATGGCACACTCATTCACGATTAGCAACGCCGTCTTGATCGATGGGCTGAACATTTTGAGGCTCAGTTCAACTGGTCCCCATTGACATTTCAATATCACTCTCCACCACGACTGCCAGGTCTCCATCTAAAATGGAGGTTTCCCGGGAAAAGGCATTAGGTCTCCGGCCCAGACGGGTTCTCCCCATCCGTTTTTAAGGATGGAGGTTTAGTCTTAGTTTCGGAGTTAACGAAACTACTGGGCTCAGAGTGGGAGAGGGAACAGGTTCCAGCTGAATGGTGTGAACCGGTCATTAAACCGATTTACAAGAAAGGTGACAGATCCTCTTGTGAAAACCAAAGAGGAATTAGTTTTATCAACATCACTTCTAAACTTCTCGCTTGGATCATAATCCGTCGATTGTCTGCCGCATGTGAAGAGTGCACGCGTGAGAACCAGGCTGGTTTTAGACCTGGTCGAGGTTGTATCGACCACATTTTCACTCTTCGCCAAACTCTTGAGCATCGACATTCTTTTCGTAGACCCACCATCTCTGTCTTCCTGAATCTGAAAGCGGCTTTCGACTCAGTCGATCGCTCTAAACTCTGGCGCTGCCTTTCCCTGAAGGGTGTGTCCAAGAAGTTTATTTCAATATTATGATCCCTCTATAGCCGATACCGAGTCCGAGCTTACGGCACTTTTTTGCCCCAGTTCACCACGGAAAGTAGTGTTCGTCTTCTATTTAACTTTGTTGTATATTATGTATGTATATTATCCTCGTGTGAGGATAGTGACATTGATTTACTCCCAGATGGCAGGCTGTCTGATCTAGAGTATGCAGAAGACATTGTGCTACTAAGGGAACAGGTAAGATGCAAGCTTTTCTGGAAAGTTTGAGTGCTGGTGTATCCATGTTCAGTATGCGTTTTGCACCTTCAAAGTGTAAAAGCTACTACAAAACTGGGTTGGTCCAGCACCCAGCCTCAGCCGAACTGATGAAGTGATAGAGCAAGTGGATAAGTTTTGCTATTTGGGCAGTTACATCTCACCCGATGGACGCATCACGGATGAAGTGTCAGCTCGCATACAGAAGGCTCGGTTGGCATTTGCCAAATTGAGACATCTGTGGCGCCGTCGCAACATCCGGTTGTCTGTTAAGGGTCGAGTGTATGCTGCAGCAGAACGGCCAGTTCTGCTATATAGAACAAAAGCTTGATCATTACGAAAAGCGCATAAAGATAAACTGTCGGTGTTTGAACATCTACGCAGCATTCCACGAGTCTGGTGGGGCAGCCCGACGTGCAATGCTAAGTCAGGCGAAAAGATTTAGGTAACCGCGATCGCCCACTGGAGCAAGTGATCGATCTCCATAGATTACGTTGATTGGGGCATGTGTTACGCATGTCCCCAAGTAGGCTGCCAGCGAGTGATGTTTGCCGAGGCATGTAGTGGGTGGTCAAGCTAAGGCCTGGCATGAGGGTATGAAACCCCTAACCGGAATCTGGGTCACATGCATCCCGTTCAGCTCTCTGGCTGGGGACCTTGGGAGGGTCGTAACCGATGGTTAGAGATACTGAGTGATATGGCTGGGTGTAGTAAACAGTGGCGTTCGTGCATCTTCTCAATTTGTTTGCAACATTGGTCCACTGAAATTCTCAATTTTCTCTTCGATTCCACTTTCAACCTTTCCTGTCTTTCTCCCATTCTTCATCCAAATGGATACCCAAAAGATAGCAACCAAAAACGTCGCACGGAAATGTATGTTTGATGGTTGTTTAAACTGAACTGAACTGAAATACGTCCGAAGACATATGACAGATATGAAACCATGTCAACAAGAGGGTTGCGTTCAAAAACACTAAAACAATTTACTTGAAACTGGTTAATCAAAAAGACCCGCGTACAAAAGGGGACGCTTCCGACGTAATCTATAGAAAAAGTTGCCTAAACTCTCCAGTAACGTATGTCGGCGAGACGTCCAGCAGCTTGAGAGAGCATCTAAGGAAGAAGATTCCAAATGATGCAGGAGGTTGGAATCGAGTGGAACACAATTCCGCAATCGCTGAGCAAACAACGCGCGAAGGACGTGNNNGTGTGGTTGATTTAAAAAAACGCATATTCTAAAGGTCAAACTAATTTCACTCGTCCCAACCACCCGTCGAATGTTCACTAACACACGCGCGCGCATGCTTGAGTCATATCAGAGACCTACACGATGTCATCATCCCATCGCCTTATCATTGCTTGTAACGTGAGATAAACCGATTAGACGACCTGAGAAAGGTCTTCCAAGAGAGTCAAAACGTTGTCACTAACGCCTTTTGTTTTGTTTTTTTCGTTCGTTATGGTTAAGACAAGCGAACGGAATGAGATGTCAGAAGCACATGGATTACCTCGGAGTTCTAACATTCGCGTGCAGGCTCTTATGGCGATAAGGACACTGATTTTGTGTAATACTGACAATTTAAGTTCCATGGTGCTTTATGTACTAGTTCCAAATTCAGGCACCGCATAAACAATGTGGCACAAAAACCCCAGCAAAAATAATGGGGAATTGCAGAGCTAGCACTTCTTACATGTACGGATGTGGTAGAAATAACCATATACGATTTCTGACTAAACGCGTTTACCTCTGAAGTGACAACAATTTTCGGAAGCCGAGAATAATCGTAAAATGAAGAAAACAGGAATTTCACCAAGGAGAAAACCCGTTTCGAAATGAAAACAGTGCAACGCAGAGAAGCTAACGGGAGTAGTGAAGTTTCGCCATCATTTGAACTGAAAAAATTGAGGTAAGTTTTTACCGTTTTAAAATTACCAGCGGAAGCAATGAACAAGTGGTAAATACGACTTTGATGGCCATGTCATTAAACGCTTACTCCGAGGACGAAATCATTTTTTCAAGCATTACAGTGAACTACGTAAGTATTTTAACCCATATGAAACAGAAGATTTCTATCTGACTTTGTATACTGGTTTCGTTGAGGGAACATCGTTCCTTATCACTCTCATATTCCGGCTTATCACACAGTACCTGCACTGACATTCAAACAGAACACCGAAAGTACACATTGTCAATGGGCTCTTTGAAAGACGGAAGGGACATTCAGTGTTCTTTGAAGAGTATACCGGAAAGCTACTTTGAATGGCCAGTACAGTAATTTTCATACTGAAGTAACCGGCGTTCATCTATTTAGATGAAAGCTTTGAGCGAAGGGAGAATTGTTTCAGACTCCCCAGCTTCCCTGACTAAAATGCGATCATCCGGAGAGAGAGTACAATGACGACGACACATTACTGTAACTGTTACGCAAGCAGTCTGTGTGCCATATAAACGCCTCTCCTTGGGACCTTCCTCTACTCCTTTAGTGAAGTGACGTCGTATTCACACTATATACTCCATCTCCATTATGTCTCATATAGACGAGTGCATTTGCATCAAAATGAATCCACCTAAAATGTAGTCGACTACGTTCTGGGTTGTAGCTGATACTTCTGGTTCATTCAACATGCAAAAGAATTTTACAAAATCTTTCTGTTTAACGATGTGGATGACGTTCACGCATCAGTGCTGGGTTTTCTATTACCATAAAATATCAAGGAAACGAATCCTAGAGTGATACCATACCACTGAAAAACGTTGGAATCATCGACACGATTTCGATACCCACAGAAGCAATAAATGCCATATTAAGCCATCCTACAAACACGGTATCTCACGAGACTGAAAAACAGACCAGTGTATGCGATCCCGTATTTTGTGTGCATATCCAGTGAGAGTACCTTCAATTAAGTTCATCGGTTAACACCAAAGTTAAATTATGACATATCCATTTCGACTACCATCCCTGTGATGTAACACACTTGCTTGTACTTGAATCTTTCAGGCACCAACGTGTACGACCAGCTCCACTGATTGGCAGGGTTCGGTGAAACCACCTACTATCAACAGTACATCATATCGGACGTGCAAATTGGCACGTCTGCGCGGCCGACGACTTCGCGGGCACGGACGAAATATTTGGTCGCACTTGTATGACGGGGCTAGAAATGCAGCATTCAAAAGAACCGGACCGTATACGAGACCCCCGGGATGTCATACATCTCAGTTCGCCTCGGGTCTGGGAATTTTCAAAGAATTCGGTCTCACATCAAACAAAACCTCTGATATGCAATTGACAGTCAACCACGAGTCAGGTCAACTAAACAGTCTGACAGCCATGGAAAACGAGCAGAACGGAGGACATGGTAGTCGTCCTGAAACAAAGCCATCGAACTATGCACACTTATACGAACAAGGTTGTTTTCCCACCCGTACATCGAACCCGTCTCATAACTCTCCAACTAAATCAACCAACTTAGTAGGGAATCCGATCGTTATTCTAAATCCAAAAGAGCCTAGGGAAATATTCATTGGTGGAATCCACAGCGTTCCTCTTCCGTTATGGGCATATAAAAAGTGCCTGACAATGGTACGAGGAGAGCCACACGAACTCGGTCCTCGACTGTGTTTACGTTTACTCCAAAGCCTTTTCAGCCTCAACTACTTGGTTACGCACAACTATAATGGATCTGGCGGCAAGGCTCCAATTGACCCGACTGTGATGGGAGCAGTACTGCGTCAGGCCCAAATTCAATTTGGCTCCGGTTATTTCTTCACCGAACCCATGGCTTTGGGTAAATTACGTGACTATTTGAACAATGCTTTCCGTGTAATGGCATTCAGACAGCGGAAAGGTGAACGCGTCCGATCACCGTTTTGGAATGATCAAGGAGAACCGGTGCATGGACTTGAAGCACCGGTGGAATTTGCGGATACCTCTGACGTTATTGTCCTCACGCCGAATGCAGAAATTAGCGGTACAGACATGTTACGACTAAACGACCGCACAAACAGTCCTGAGATAGAAGCGACGAAGTCGCACGAAAGCGGCAGCTTGTGATCCCTTTGTCTGTTTTTCTTCTTCGCTGTATATGTGACCTAGATTGCATGCTTTTTGTCGAGTATTCAAGTCTACCATCCGTCCCTGACTCGCCACACTCACCAGACATTAAATAATGCAAAACAGAAATTTAACCGAATCCAACGATGAACGACCACACGCACACAATTTGTATATGCCTGGCTTGATATAAAAACAGAAACATTGTATCGTATCAAATTGGTTATCATCTATGCTGTGAGGGTTTTTATCGTGGTACATACCACAGGCGACGAAATTCTGGAACTAGACAAAATTAGAAGTAACAAAAACCTTCGGAGGCAATCATTTCGTCCATTTATGAAATATGGATTGGCGTTAGTATACCATTACGCTGAGAAACGTTTTAAACTCTAAGTGAAAACGTTTTATAACTTGGCAAGCTCATGGTGCATTGCGAAGATTCCACCAGTCCACCACTATATATATATATATATATATATATATATATACTATGATCAATTTCCTATTTCGCACCCCTGATAAGTATCATTTTCCGATATCCTCCCACATTTTGGAAAACCCAAATTAACTGTATGCGTAATACCATAGTTTCTGGCCATGCATCACCCCTCAATATTTTGCAGTTCCTGATACCTACTCACTTGGTCTTTGACCGATGTTCGGAACGGTCATTGACCAGCCAACCTGCAATGTCGCACTCAGCCAGTAGTGTTTCACCTAGAGTGAAGCGAATGACGCTGCTCATTGATTGGATCTTTGCTGAGAAGACACAACGATGCCAACAATCGAAGATACTTGACATCGAAATTTGCGATCACCTATCAATCAGAACGTGTTGAAAATACTGAATTAGTCAGGTGCAACTCAGAGCTCCATTGTCGGATCACTTGGAATTTCAGGAAAAACTGTCTACAATATTATATCCCACTCAACGACTGTCGTAGAATTAGTATCTCCGAAAAGTCGCTACCTGAAACCCAACGAAATATCCAAGATAGTGAATGAGGCGACCTCGACTTGGTTTACTGCTGAGGGGAAAACACGGTGGGTTTCCCATTGTGGAGAGCATCCTCTACTCAGGTGCATTACTTTGTAGGTTTGTTGGAAAATTTGGGCTGTATCATGTGGTGCAGTGGACGAGATTCGAGAGGGTTACCGCAGCTAACCCATGGATATGCTGTAATATTTTCAGTATGGATGAAGCAGCTCCCAGAAAGATTGTCTCAAAGAAAAAACAAATTAATGTATCCAAGAAATCCAAAAAGGATCACGTTACTGCTTTGTGGGAGCATAACCGGAGAAAACTTCTCACCGCTGGTTACTGAAAAATTTTAATATATATATATATTTCACACTTGTCTGAGGACAGACTGTGTACCAAACAAATCATGGTACAATAATCTTTATAAAAAGAAAAATGTTCCATGATTGGCTTGTGGGCTGAGTACTGCCAGGTTGCCCAGGCCAAGGTAGGTGAATTTTTTGAGGAATCCACAACCGGAGCCTCCGGCAAGCCAAAGCCTGACCCGCAAGGCAGCGGGGCGGTGTGCGAAAACCGCAGTCCATTGGGAGCCGGTGTCCAGTTTATCGGATCATACGCCCTTCGGACGGGGTCAGACGTTCAAGGTGCCCAATACACATCAATGCCCAATCGAGCCGGTGACCACTGCCACAACCGAAAAGGTGTGGGTGTGGTTCGTACGTCTCCTTATGGTTGGTTTGGAATCAGGGTTATTGGCCAACTCCCCTAGGTGAACTGCCAGTGGTCCACCAACCCGGCTATAGCCCCGGATATCGGCTTTTCGTCCTCTCTTTTTGGTGGGAAAACACCTCCGCCGCAAGAAGGCAGTGAGTAAGGCTTCTTCAGCAGAGGCTATTAGAGACGCTTGGTCGTATGGGGGCAGTTCGTGAGGTGCAAGGGCAGGGTGATCAGCCGCAACCCTAGACACCCACCCCCAACCATACTGAGGCCTTGGGAGGCGATGTCTCCGGGGTAGAGATGGAAAAAGCTACGAGAGGAAAAATGCCATTTGATTGAAGACCTTATTCGCTATGTCTATTGATGAGCGTCTTTTTAGAGAAACCATCAGTTTAGGATTTGATGAGGAAGTGGATTATTTAAAAATGTTAATCAAATCTCTTTTTAGTGATTAGATAACTCTTCCTGAAGTAGATTGCCACGACGAGACAGGCACCGGGTGGGAAAATGTCTAGGGTGGTCAATCTAAGATCTGGCGTGAGAGTTTGAAAACCCTAGCCAGGACACTGAGTCATATAGGTCCCGTTATGCTCCCTGGATGGGAACCTCGAGATCATGGTAACGGGCGATTGGAGACACAGTGATAGGGCGGTGTAGCAAACAGTGACGCTCGTGCATCTACTCAATACTCTTGCAACCTCAGTCTATAGTCACCCTGAATTTTCTCTCAGCATTAAAGTCCTCATTCTGCTCTGTTATCCCAATGGGCGACCAAAAGACAACAACAAAACAGGCGCACGAATGCGCGTGATTATTGGGTCTGAAGACTGAACTGAAACTGAACAATGGTTACCAACACCATGACCATTCCGCCTACCGATAGTCTCTGTCTCGCTAACGCGCAAACGGGTGAATGGTAATCGCGAACGAATGGAAACAGGTGTCAGATTCAAGCGATCGATAATCGGCGTAGCGCCTGTGTGAGTGAATGAACGATATTTGGGTCTATCCTTGCTAGAGCACCGATGAAATTAGACGGGTCACTGGTCAAAGGTTATTGTAAAAGGATCTGACGGGTCCCTGGCTGTTTGAACGTTGCACTTTTAATTTGTGAATCGCGTTATTGCATCATGTATTGAACTTCTGTCACTTATGTTTACCAACAATGGTCATAACGAATGTATCGTGTGGTTTGGACATGCGCTAGCAACAATATAAGCGAACCAATGAACAGATGTTTACAGTCACTAATCATACGCATTTTACACCAGAAACTTATGAATAGATTGCACAGTGGGTAGTCATTTTGAAATATGAGAAGGAAATCAATGTACTGAGTATACCTCGTAACAGATATTGCACTCATTTAGATGGGATTCCCTCCGAATACGATTTTTTGTCCCGCGTTCTGACTCTGTTTGACATGGTTTGTTCCTGTTTTCATCGAATGGGTGAATAGTCATATTGCGATTATTGTAGCTAAAGCAGTTTTATATTGTGCTCAACTCTGTGGTTCAAATAAGATTGCAAAGGAATGAAGAACCATATGCAAACAATATGCGGTAATTGGGTTAGAAAAATTTCCCTGAAGAAAGGTAAGCAGTTCCGGAGCAACTAGACAGTTGAAACTGAAAAGGGGCGAATGCCTGATGCAATGTACTAATATTAAGTTTCTTCTTTCTTCTTATTTTACTTCCTTTTTAATGAATTCGCAAAGTTGCAATTTTCAGGAAGGGGGAAAGCGGCCAATCAAACCGCTGCCATTCAACACAATGAAGGAAGTCAGGAAGTGATGGTGGGATTCGAACAGACCACTGGGGTGATAATTTAGTAACGTTAAAACCGGGCAACCATCACCCGGACGTCGGAAAAGATCTCAATTTGTTGGATGCATAAAGGATACACCGAACGGTATATTTAAATTCTGCTATAAATAAGCAGTGCATAATTATAAACATTAGGAAGAAGTTAGGAAACTAACCTACTATTCATCGATCCGGTTGGTTTTGTCGCAAAACTGTCAACCGATTTTTCTTGCTACTTAACACCATCTACTACTGACTCTCGTGCTATGTCGCAGTTCATGGAATTTACCCACTTTTTCGAATTCCCGAGGGGTGAGACATAGTAGGAGATTGGCTGTAGTTATGTTTCGGAATAGTGTTCTACGACGTGCCAAGGCGTCACTCGAGATTTTCTGAAATCAGTGATACATTACTCATGAGTAGGCCATAGCAGCAGTGATCTGATATCCGACTTCCGGTGTGTTCACAAGCGTCCCTTCGGCAGTACTTTTCCGAGGTTCGCTAAGAATTAAAATAACGGCATAAAATAAATATGTGCTACGATACTTAACCAAATGATTGCGATAAGACAGTTAGCCTCATGGTTTGCGAACAACTAGTATCGCAATGGTTTACTTGGATTGATAAACGAAATACAGAGTACTGTAGAAGATGACTCGAGCAGCCTTCAATGAAAACAAACAAGAATCATGACGAAAATTTATTTGTTTTTGTACAGATTATAAATGACAACAGACTGCAATCTCACAAGGGCAAGTGCGTTTTGCTGAAAGAAGAAAAATGTGGTCACGTTATTGGGGGATGAAAATTAATCTTAGTAGTTCTCTTAGTACTTGTGGTATATTAGAAATGACAGGAAAAAAGAATCCATATGTAAACTGAAATAACAAATAACCGATGCGAAAATTAAGGAACAGAATCGCGACACCGATATCTCATACTACGTTAAAATTTTTGGAACTAGTTAAATGTAAGTCTATCGTCATCGGGAACACGATTGGTACCTTTGCAAACTGTTCGCAAGCCGCCAACAACACACCGTACTCCAAATACGAAAGACAACATCATTCGCAGTTTCATGAAACAACAGAAACAATATTTAACCTTCGTCCGATCACACTACACTCCAATGCTTTCAGTAGTATATCTCATCCAGTTTTTGATGTACGATCTGGTGTCCTTTGATTCATTCATGTGCAATCATATCACAATGCTTTGCGAAGTGTCAGTCTCTGATTTTTCTAACACGATAAGGACGTTCCGGTCTACCAAATAAACAATAAAACAAAATTTTCGGTAGTTTTCAGCTATCTGGGTTCAACCTTTTTGACAAACGTGCACGGAAACTATTTAAAACCGAGCCCAGGATTGCACATAGGAAGCATAAAAGTAACGGACCAAGATTATCAATTTAGTTAAAAAACGGACTAAGATCAGTCGTAACAAATTTCTAGTAATTCAAGGTTTGCTGAGGTATTGAAAACATGATTATA